ACTTTAGCTATATATAATATCAAAGACCAACAAGGGTCACATGACAGATAAATCAGCGCTACGAGTTACTTTAAAGTAATATAAACATGAATTACATTGATATGCGAGGCTTCAGAGGCCAGGTTGATATCAACCATCACCGGCAGCCATCATCTTATAATGGAGCATCTATTGACAGGTTACATCCATCATCATATAATGGAGCATCTATTGACAGGTTACATCCATGATCTTATAATGGAGCATCTATTGACAGGTTACATCCATAATCTTATAATGGAGCATCTATTGACAGGTTACATCCATGATCATATAATGGAGCATCTATTGACAGGTTACATCCATGATCTTATAATGGAGCATCTATTGACAGGTTACATCCATAATCTTATAATGGAGCATCTATTGACAGGTTACATCCATAATCTTATAATGGAGCATCTATTGACAGGTTACATCCATCATCATATAATGGAGCATCTATTGACAGGTTACATCCATAATCTTATAATGGAGCATCTATTGACAGGTTACATCCATAATCTTATAATGGAGCATCTATTGACAGGTTACATCCATGATCTTATAATGGAGCATCTATTGACAGGTTACATCCATGATCATATAATGGAGCATCTATTGACAGGTTACATCCATGATCTTATAATGGAGCATCTATTGACAGGTTACATCCATGATCATATAATGGAGCATCTATTGACAGGTTACATCGATGATCATATAATGGAGCATCTATTGACAGGTTACATCCATAATCTTATAATGGAGCATCTATTTACAGGTTACTCAACACGATACTGGAAATAACGAGGCCTACCCACGGTGGATATCTGCTTGATGGGGTTCTGGGAGTTCTACTCCCCAAGCCCGGCCCGAGCTTGACTTGGGAGGGCTTGGTCTAACAGGCTGTTGTTCGGAGCGGCCCGCAGGCCCACATGTGCACAACAGCCCGACTGGTCCGGGCTGTGGTGGATAGAAGTCCGGGCTGTGGTGGATAGAAGTCCGGGCTTCCTACACAGTGGATAAGACGCACTGTAGTTCACAACATATAACATCGTGAGGTTTCCATTAGGCTTTCACACAATGCCTTATAAAACAACAAATAAAAATTTAACTTCATTTGAGGTAAAATTAATTGAAAAATAAATCAAATTTGTATTAGCTGCGTAATATGATTTACATTCTTCGATGTGTATTAATGTATTAAAAATAGACAAGGCAAAATATTACAATGTAACTGACGATTTGTCACACTTAAGGGGGGAAAAATAGTAATGGAAAAAAATTCGCTTTTCATTTCGGGAATATTATTATTATTACTCGTGGCTTACTGTATCATCCTGATCAGTATAAACAGACTCCACAATGCAGTATTTTCAGGAATTACTTGAGAAACGCATGAAAAATGGTGGCAGTGTTGTATTTTTAAAGGATTACATTTGTTTTCATGGAGGCAGTTTGGGGGATCTTGTGGATGTCTTGTCACGGGAGGGAAACTGTCTACGTAAACCAGGCTCAGGACCAGGGACATGGTGGCTACATATTCACTGTCTTCTTACTTCCAATACACTTTTTCTTCTTTTTATCAGAGTCAAGGGAAGGGAAGAGAACTATCAGGAGAATGCGCCAAGCCATTACGACTATGAAGCACTGGGAAGGGATCAGGATAAGGATTAGGGATGGGACGATAAGGACTGGTGGCCAACCACTTGGACGGTCGGGGATTGAATGCCGACCTGCATGAAGCGAGACCTTTGTTCTACCGTCCAGCTCAAGTGGTTGGACTTGTCAGAGTTTGCACATTTTCATACCCCCTTTGGTATCGACTTGATGAGCCAGGCTATTGCTTCCTGGAGCTGGCATTTGAGCAGTTACAACGTAATGTATGCTCAAGCAATTTCTGAGGGAACTCTGCCCACCTCGTTATTGAACACTGTTAATTTGTGCCCCTGATGCGTTAGTGCAGTTAGCCTCGCCCCGCTCTGCACAGTCTCGTATTATCCACTGACACCCTTCACTTGAGCGACGTTATCGCTTCTTGCAAGGTTCGCCGTTCGATCCCCGATGGTCCATTCCTTCAGCCAGTCCCTCATATCCCAAGTGCATACTGGCAGAGAGCTTCCTGCCGGTAATTACCTTACCACGCAGTTTGCTCTGCCTCTGGCGCTCGGAGGCGGCTCCGTGACCTTTCGCCGATCCCGGCAGCTTATAGAGATTTAAAGGAACTAACATTAACAGCATTTGAACCTTCGGCGTTCCCAAAGGCTCGGCGTCACGAGATACGAACTAAAGCTGCAATGTAAACATAGCGACGATGGAGAAGTCACTTTCATAGTCACTTTCATGGGCACTTTCAGTCACTTTCATAGTCACTTTCAAGGGCACTTTCAGTCACTTTCAGTCAATTTCATAGTCACTTTCAGTCACTTTCATAGTCACTTTCATAGTCACTTTCAGTCACTTTCAATCACTTTCATAGTCACTTTGAGTCACTTTCATAATAACTTTCAGTCACTTTCAGTCACTTTCATAGTCACTTTCAGTCACTTTCATAGTCACTTTCAGTCACTTTCATAATAACTTTCAGTCACTTTCATAGTCAATTTTAGTGACTTTCAGTCACTTTAAATCACTTTAATAGTGACTTTCATAATCACTTTCAGTCACTTTTAATCACTTTCATAGTCAGTTTCAGTCACTTTCATAGTCAATTTTAGTCAATTTCATAGTCAAATTTAGTCACTTTCATAGTCACCATCATACTCAGTAAATTTTAGACATATCGGTGACTCGGAGGTCCATACTGATGCCAAATATAATGGTGAGCCTGAGGAAGGTGGTGTCTTTTGTGGTGAACTTGCAGGTGATAATGATGGTGATGACCTTCGTGGTGATGGTGATGACCTTCGTGGTGATGGTGATGACCTTCGTGGTGATGGTGATGACCTTCGTGGTGATGGTGATGACCTTCGTGGTGATGGTGATGACCTTCGTGGTGATGGTGATGACCTTCGTGGTGATGGTGATGATGAACCACATGGTGATGGCAATGACCTTTATGGAAATAATGACTAACGATGTGATGGTGATGAAGGTGACAGATATGGAAGGATGGTGGTGAATGACATGGTGGTTGAGGTGATGCCCTTTACGGTTTCTGTCACGTTAACCACTTACCAGGTGGTGTGTGGGAGACATGTTCACGACCTACCTGGTGGTGTGTGGGAGACATGTTCACGACCTACCTGGTGGTGTGTGGGAGACATGTTCACGACCTACCTGGTGGTGTGGGGGAGACATGTTCACGACCTACCTGGTGGTGTGGGGGAGACATGTTCACGACCTACCTGGTGGTGTGTGGGAGACATGTTCACGACCTACCTGGTGGTGTGTGGGAGACATGTTCACGACCTACCTGGTGGTGTGTGGGAGACATGTTCACGACCTACCTGGTGGTGTGGGGGAGACATGTTCACGACCTACCTGGTGGTGTGTGGGAGACATGTTCACGACCTACCTGGTGGTGTGTGGGAGACATGTTCACGACCTACCTAGTGGTGTGGGGGAGACATGTTCACGACCTGCCTTGTGGTGTGTGGGAGACATGTTCACGACCTACCTTGTGGTGTGTGGGAGACATGTTCCCGACCTACCTGGTGGTGTGTAGGAGACATGTTCACGACCTACCTGGTGGTGTGTGGGAGACATGTTCACGACCTACTTGGTGGTGTGTGCGAGAGACATGTTCACGACCTACCTGGTGGTGTGTGGGAGACATGTTCACGACCTACCTGGTGGTGTGTGGGAGACATGTTCACGACCTACCTGGTGGTGTGTGGGAGACATGTTCACGACCTACCTGGTGGTGTGCGAGAGACATGTTCACGACCTACCTGGTGGTGTGGATGTTGTCGATGGTGAGGCTCATCTCGGCGGTGTTGCGGGAGATCTTGACCTCGTGCCAGAAGAGGTCGTCGAGGCGCAGGCGAGGCGGCGACGACAGCTCCGACTCTCCCGCCCCCAGGTTGATCCGCACCTGTGGGGGAGACAGCACACGACCATCACCACACCTTACACCTTCACGACACCTGGTGGGAGGACACCTGGTGGGAGGACACCTGGTGGGAGGAGAGGGCACCTGGTGGGAGGACACCTGGTGGGAGGACACCTGGTGGGAGGGCACCTGGTGGGAGGACACCTGGTGGGAGGACACCTGGTGGGAGGAGAGGGCACCTGGTGGGAGGACACCTGGTGGGAGGACACCTGGTGGGAGGGCACCTGGTGGGAGGACACCTGGTGGGAGGGCACCTGGTGGGAGGACACCTGGTGGGAGGACACCTGGTGGATTGGGAGGACACCTGGTAGATTGGGAGGACACCTGGTGGTTTGGAAGGACACATGGTGGATTGGGAGGACACCTGGTGGATTGGGAGGACACCTGGAGGATTGGGAGGACACCTGGTGGATTGGGAGGACACCTGGGATTGGGAGGACACCTGGTGATTGGGAAGACACCTGGTGGGAGGACACCTGGTGGTGGGAAGACACCTGGTGGTGGGAGGACACCTGGTGGAGCGGGAAGACACCTGGTGGATTGGGAGGACACCTGGTGGATTGGGAGGACACCTGGTGGATTGGGAGGACACCTGGTGGGAGGACACCTGGTGGATTGGGAGGACACCTGGGTGGGAGGGACACCTGGTGGGAGGACACCTGGGTGGGAGGACACCTGGTGGGAGGACACCTGGTGGGAGGACACCTGGTGGGAGGACACCTGGTGGGAGGAGGAGGACACCTGGTGGGGAGGACACCTGGTGGAGTAGGAGGACACCTGGTGGGAGGACACCTGGTGGAGTGGGAGGACACCTGGTGGGAGGACACCTGGTGGGAGGACACCTGGTGGGAGGACACCTGGTGGGAGGACACCTGGTGGGAGGACACCTGGTGGGAGGACACCTGGTGGGAGGACACCTGGTGGGAGGACACCTGGTGGGTGGGAGGACACCTGGTGGGTGGGAGGACACCTGGTGGAGGGAGGACACCTGGTGGAGGAGAGGACCTGGTGGAGTGGGAGGACACCTGGGTGGGAGGACACCTGGTGGAGAGGACCTGGTGGGACACCTGGTGGGAGGGAGGACACCTGGTGGGAGGACACCTGGTGGGAGGGAGGACACCTGGTGGGAGGACACCTGGTGGTGGGAGGACACCTGGTGGGTGGGAGGACACCTGGTGGGAGGACACCTGGTGGACACCTGGTGGGAGGACACCTGGTGGGAGGACACCTGGTGGGAGGACACCTGGTGGGAGGACACCTGGTGGAGAGGAGGACACCTGGTGGAGGACACCTGGTGGGAGGACACCTGGTGGAGTGGGAGGACACCTGGTGGCACCTGGTGGGAGGACACCTGGTGGACAGTGGGAGGACACCTGGTGGGTGGGAGGACACTGGTGGGAGTGGGAGGACACCTGGTGGGAGGACACCTGGTGGGAGGAGAGGGCACCTGGTGGGAGGACACCTGGTGGGAGGACACCTGGTGGGAGGAGAGGGCACCTGGTGGGAGGACACCTGGTGGGAGGAGAGGGCACCTGGTGGGAGGACACCTGGTGGGAGGAGGACACCTGGTGGACACCTGGTGGGTGGGAGGACACCTGGTGGGAGGACACCTGGTGGGAGGACACCTGGTGGGAGGGACCTGGTGGGAGGACACCTGGTGGGAGGGAGAGGACACCTGGTGGGAGGAGAGGACACCTGGTGGGAGGAGAGGACACCTGGTGGGTGGGAGGACACCTGGTGGGTGGGAGGACACCTGGTGGGAGGACACCTGGTGGGAGGACACCTGGTGGGAGGACACCTGGTGGGAGGAGAGGGCACCTGGTGGGAGGAGAGGACACCTGGTGGGAGGACACCTGGTGGGAGGACACCTGGTGGGAGGAGAGGACACCTGGTGGGAGGAGAGGGCACCTGGTGGGAGGAGAGGGCACCTGGTGGGAGGAGAGGACACACAGTGGGAGGAGAGGACACACAGTGGGAGGAGAGGACACACAGTGGGAGGAGAGGACACACAGTGGAAGGAGAGGACACATAGTGGGAGGAGAGGACATCTGGTGGGAGGAGAGGGCACCTGGTGGGAGGAGAGGACACACAGTGGGAGGAGAGGGCACACAGTGGGAGGAGAGGACACACAGTGGGAGGAGAGGACACATAGTGGGAGGAGAGGGCACCTGGTGGGAGGAGAGGACACCTGGTGGGAGGAGAGGACACACAGTGGGAGGAGAGGACACACAGTGGGAGGAGAGGACACACAGTGGGAGGAGAGGACACACAGTGGGAGGAGAGGACACACAGTGGGAGGAGAGGACACACAGAGGGAGGAGAGGACACACAGTGGGAGGTGAGGACACACAGTGGGAGGAGAGGACACACAGTGGGAGGAGAGGACACACAGTGGGAGGAGAGGACACACAGTGGGAGGAGATTACACATAGTGGGAGGAGAGGACACCTGGTGTTAGGAGAGGGCACATAGCGGGAGGAGAGGACACACAGTGGGAGGAGAGGACACACAGTTTGAGGAGAGGACACATAGTGGGAGGAGAGGACACACAGTGGGAGGAGAGGACACACAGTGGGAGGAGAGGGCACACAGTGGGAGGAGAGGACATCTGGTGGGAGTAGAGGACACACAGTGGGAGGAGGGACACACAGTGGGAGGAGAGGACATCTGGTGGGAGGAGAGGACACACAGTGGGAGGAGAGGGCACACAGTGGGAGGAGAGGACACACAGTGGGAGGAGAGGGCACACAGTGGGAGGAGAGGACACACAGTGGGAGGAGAGGACACACAGTGGGAGGAGAGGGCACACAGTGGGAGGAGAGGACACACAGTGGGAGGAGAGGACATCTGGTGGGAGGAGAGGACACACAGTGGGAGGAGGGACACACAGTGGGAGGAGAGGACATCTGGTGGGAGGAGAGGACACACAGTGGGAGGAGAGGACACACAGTGGGAGGAGAGGACACACAGTGGGAGGAGAGGACACACAGTGGGAGGAGAGGACACACAGTGGGAGGAGAGGACATCTGGTGGGAGGAGAGGACACACAGTGGGAAGAGAGGACACACAGTGGGAGGAGAGGACACACAGTGGGAGGAGAGGACACACAGTGGGAGGAGAGGACACACAGTGGGAGGAGAGGGCACACAGTGGGAGGAGAGGACACACAGTGGGAGGAGAGGACACACAGTGGGAGGAGAGGACATCTGGTGGGAGGAGAGGACACACAGTGGGAGGAGAGGGCACACAGTGGGAGGAGAGGACACACAGTGGGAGGAGAGGGCACACAGTGGGAGGAGAGGACACACAGTGGGAGGAGAGGACATCTGGTGGGAGGAGAGGACACACAGTGGGAGGAGAGGGCACACAGTGGGAGGAGAGGACACACAGTGGGAGGAGAGGACACACAGTGGGAGGAGAGGGCACACAGTGGGAGGAGAGGACACACAGTGGGAGGAGAGGACATCTGGTGGGAGGAGAGGACACACAGTGGGAGGAGGGACACACAGTGGGAGGAGAGGACACACAGTGGGAGGAGAGGGCACACAGTGGGAGGAGAGGACACACAGTGGGAGGAGAGGACACACAGTGGGAGGAGAGGACACACAGTGGGAGGAGAGGGCACACAGTGGGAGGAGAGGACACACAGTGGGAGGAGAGGACATCTGGTGGGAGGAGAGGACACACAGTGGGAGGAGAGGGCACACAGTGGGAGGAGAGGACACACAGTGGGAGGAGAGGACATCTGGTGGGAGGAGAGGACACACAGTGGGAGGAGAGGACACACAGTGGGAGGAGAGGACATCTGGTGGGAGGAGAGGACACACAGTGGGAGGAGAGGACACACAGTGGGAGGAGAGGACACACAGTGGGAGGAGAGGACACACAGTGGGAGGAGAGGACACACAGTGGGAGGAGAGGACACACAGTGGGAGGAGAGGACACACAGTGGGAGGAGAGGACACATAGTGGGAGGAGAGGACACCTGGTGGGAGGAGAGGACACCTGGTGTTAGGAGAGGACACATAGCGGGAGGAGAGGACACACAGTGGGAGGAGAGGACACACAGTTTGAGGAGAGGACACATAGTGGGAGGAGAGGACACATAGTGGGAGGAGAGGGCACCTGGTGGGAGGAGAGGACACCTGGTGGGAGGAGAGGACACATAGCGGGAGGAGAGGACACACAGTGGGAGGAGAGGACACACAGTGGGAGGAGAGGACACACAGTGGGAGGAGAGGGCACACAGTGGTAGGAGAGGACACACAGTGGGAGGAGAGGGCACACAGTGGGAGGAGAGGACACACAGTGGGAGGAGAGGGCACACAGTGGGAGGAGAGGACACACAGTGGGAGGAGAGGACATCTGGTGGGAGGAGAGGACACACAGTGGGAGGAGAGGGCACACAGTGGGAGTAGAGGACACACAGTGGGAGGAGAGGGCACACAGTGGGAGGAGAGGACACACAGTGGGAGGAGAGGACATCTGGTGGGAGGAGAGGACACACAGTGGGAGGAGGGACACACAGTGGGAGGAGAGGACACACAGTGGGAGGAGAGGGCACACAGTGGGAGGAGAGGACACACAGTGGGAGGAGAGGACACACAGTGGGAGGAGAGGACACACAATGGGAGGAGAGGGCACACAGTGGGAGGAGAGGACACACAGTGGGAGGAGAGGACATCTGGTGGGAGGAGAGGACACACAGTGGGAGGAGAGGGCACACAGTGGGAGGAGAGGACACACAGTGGGAGGAGAGGACACCTGGTGGGAGGAGAGGACACACAGTGGGAGGAGAGGACACACAGTGGGAGGAGAGGACATCTGGTGGGAGGAGAGGACACACAGTGGGAGGAGAGGACACACAGTGGGAGGAGAGGACACACAGTGGGAGGAGAGGACACACAGTGGGATGAGAGGACACACAGTGGGAGGAGAGGACACACAGTGGGAGGAGAGGACACACAGTGGGAGGAGAGGAC